TTCTGTCTTGCATAGCCTTTCATTCAGTTAATTAACTGTTAACTGAGCACCTGCTCAATGCATATAAAGGCGTGAACATGACAGACAAGGTCCCTGCTCCCACGTAACTGTGTCATGAGGGAGGCAACCAACTGCCTAGAACAACCATTATGAAGTATCAAATTGATTGGGATTATCAACCAAATCACAGAGTGAGTTGTCTGGACATCTAGTTGTTCCTCTTGAAGACCTAAGACCCTGATAAAAGCCATCACTTAGCACTTATTGTGAACCAGGCATTGTTCATGCACTAACTCATTAATCCTCAGCATAGCCATTGTACAGGTGAGGAGACTGAGTCACAGAGGGTTAAGTAACTTTCCCACTGTCTTGCAGCTTGTAAATCGCAGAGCCAAGATGCCAGTTCAGAAGCTTGGCCCCAGAGCCCAACCTCTCACCCTCTATACTAACTTACCCCTTGATGTGAGAGGCACTGGAGGTTCTCACTCCAAGCACCTGTCTGCAGGCCAGCAGGTCACAGTAGGATGAACCAAATCACGTGGCAGGTGCGAGCTCTCTTCCAGCTCCTGGCCCAGTACATGGCTCACTCCCATGTCATCATCCAGGCCTTCGTTCTGTTATCACTGTCTGGGCTCCTGGGCCTAATGGGTTTAAGGCTCTAGCCAATCATGTAATGAGGCTCTTATGAACCCTGGAGCAGTGGTCAGAACGTGGGCTGTCCCTGTCATTCTTGTGCCAAGATAGTGTCTCAGATCCAGACAAGACTCAAGAGAAATAGCATTGGTTTCCATTTATTGAGCATTTCCATGTGCCAGGCACTGGGCTAAATGCTTTATATACAATATCTATCTCATTTAACCCTTAGAACAGACAAATAGGAAAATACAACATGGCAGTAGGTTCTACTATTATTCTCATTTCCAAAGGAGGAAACCCCTTGGCTTAGAGAATCTGGAGAGCTTGGCTGGGCTCACACAGCTGGTTAAAGGGTGCCCTGCTATCTGGCTGCAGTCTGGCTTCCCAGGCTGCCCCTAAACCACCGGGCCCTGTCTCCCGAGCCATCTCTGAAGGAGGAAGGAAAGTGCAGATCCCTCTCTCTGCCTGAATACTTTCTTCCGTACTTTTTTTCCTTAAGAGGGAAGATTACAGAGAAAAAAGAAACTCAACCACTTCTCAGAAGGATGTTGTGTCTCTCTCCTGCCCCCACCCCCTCCCTGCTGGAGACAACAAGACTTTTGTCTGAATGCTGGGGTGTTCGTTTTCGTTGGGAACCTTCCAGCTCTCTTACTGGTTGAGAAACGAGTCAAATCTCCTCGCAGCTCTGCAGAAACAGGATCTATCCAGCCATCTCTCCTGTTTTTGGCTTGCAGCAATGGGGAAGGGTGGGTGGGTGGCTTGGAGATGAGTCCAGGATTTGAGGGCCCAGCCGACAGTCTGGTTTCAATGGCAAATTCCCCTACAATCACACACACACACACACACACACACACACACACACACACACACTCACACCCCTTCCTCCCCTGCAGCAAGACATTGTCAAGGAATCTGAGCACGTCTTCGGGCCCGTTGCCCGCCTGGTCTTTCAGACGCAGGACCACCTGCTTGGTTGGCCAGCAGTGCTTCCTTGGCGGGGACACTCAGCTGTGTTCACTGTTCTGCCCCAGACAGAGAGGTGCAGTTAGCACCCTGCACCGAGGCCCGCCACCTCCCCTGCTAGGGACAGAAGTGGAAAGGGAGCTGGAGGAGTCCCTGGACGTGGGGTGGGAGCGGGCTCCTTCCTCCTCTCCCCTGGGCCTGATATCCTTCCCCCGAGCACATTTCCGAGAAGTGCCTCTTTGTCTCTGGAACTTGTCCCTCGTCTTGGTGACGACTCTGCCCTCCCCTCCGGAGTGAGAAAGAAAACACCATGAAGCATAACCGCGATGTCGCTCATGTTTTGGAATTTTGGCTCCTTCTGAAGGGCAGGTCCTGGGCCTGCAGGAGCAAGTGGTCTAGCGTCTCGCATGGCCAGGGGCCAGCGTCTACGGGGCTGGGGGCTCTGAGCCCTCCACAGGCTGCATGAGACCCTGGGGCGGGCCAATGCCTGAGTGGCCTTGCCAAGGAGACCAGACTGGGACTGGGCACCAGCTCCCCCTGGACGTGAGGAGGGGCCCAGGGACTTTGCCGTCTGACTCCAGCTTCCGTTTGCCGGGAAACAGCATTTGCTGCTGGTTCTGACGTGGGTCCCTGCAGGAGGCTGGCTGTGGGAGCTGAGATTTAACACCTTGCGGCTGGGAAGCTACCAGTCCCAAAGGGCGGAGGCTGTGCAGGAAGATTTCTTTTTTTGTCCCTCACACCCAACACATCATTTCCGTAGCCGGGAAGCAGATGGGCAGACGGGGAGATGAGTGTGAGGTGTGCAGGAGGGAGGAACGTGCACTCCAGACGAGCAGGGGGAGTGGTGAAGAGTCAATGTGTCTTGGAGAGGGACGTGTGGAAAAATCCTGCTATTTCAAAATGCAGTGGGAGAGGGCTGGGTCAGGAGGCCCCGAAGACAGTGTAAGGTACCAGCCAAGACCCAGCCCTGGTACTTGACAGACTCAAGTTCAAGTCCCTGCTCTGCCACCAGCTAGCATTTACTGATGTTTCTGCTGAGGACTTTCTGTGCGTAATCTGATTCAATTCTCACAAAACCTTATGAAGTAGGTGCCAGTTTTATTCCCATTTGACTCCGGTTTCCTGAGGTTCTGAGAGATGAAGTAACTTGCCCACATAGCCAGTGAGGATAAAACTGTCTGAAGCCAAGGGCAGGAGGATGCTGAAGTCTCAATTCTTCACAGTGATTTAGCATCTTCTGATGTCCTGGCCATCTGGCCTCAGGGCAGTCTCCTCACTTCCATCCTTAGTGTTCCGCATCTGGGAAATGGGGAGATGAATGCTGCTCCCCTCGGTTTCTCATGGGAATTAAATGAGAGAGTGGTTATTAATCTTTTAGCTAGTGCCTGGCCTATCATATCATTTATTCATTCGACACCTATTCACGGAGCACCTGTTATGTGCCAGGTACCGTTCTATGTGTCAAACTAGAAAGGTACCAGCTCTACCAAAATGAGTAAACAAATACACTAGATAATTTCAAACAGTGAGATGTGTTATGAAGAAAAACTGTAGTCATGACAGTGACCGTAGCAGGGTGTAGTTCCAGTGTAGCTGGGGGCTCAAGGAAGGCCTCTTTGAAGAAGTGGCCGTTGGGGTTAATTCCCAGAGGAAGGAGATGTGGAGGAAGACACACCTTCGAGGTTAAGGGGACAGCAAGGGCAAGGCCCAGAGCTGGGAACAGAAAGGAGGCCTATGTGGCCGGAGCAGCATGGGTAGGCGGGCGAGTGGCAGCGGAGGCCAGTGAGAGGGTGAGGCTGGGCCGTCAATGAGGGGGGCCGTGAAGGCATAAGGAGGAGTCTGCATAGGGGACGGCCTTTGGAGGGCAGGCCCAGACACTAGCCCCAAGTGGAAAGCGGTAGATGATGCTTCCCACTGGGGGAGCAGGGCAGCTGCAATAAAAGTCCCAATAAAGAAATGATGTGTGCCACCTAGCAGTAGTTTTCACAAAAGTAACAAGCCTCAGACCTCACAGTTTGTCAAAGGTAGAGTTTGGGCTCTTTTCCTAACGTCATGGGAATATTACTGCCCTAATCTTGCCATGGAGCAGTGCCTACTGGTATTAATATTTTTATTTTTAGAAATAAGAATTTATACTTTGGGGGTACTTATTGAATATAATTGCATATCCACAGTTCATGATTTCTGAATAGAACTGGATTTATGTATAGAACAGGGATAGATAAACTTTTTCTGTAAAAGGGTAGATAGTAAATATTTTCATTTTTGTGGGTCATATGGTCTCTTGTTGCAGCTACTTAACTCTGCTGTTATTAGCTTGAAAGCAAACATAGACAAAGCATAAAATAATGGGCATGATTCTGTTCCAATAAAACTTTATTTACAAAAACAGGCAGTGGGCCGGTTTTGGCCCATGGATCATAGGTGGCCAACTCTTGTAGAAAATATCATTTATTTACATGACCCAGATAATATTTTTCTATAAAACCAATTCAAAACATTTCCTCCAAACTCTTTTGTAAAACTGTGCTTTAATATAAATTATATCATGTTAAATATGATATTATTGAATGATGACTCAGTCCAGTGGTTTTCAAATCTTAGGGATTCCTTGTATTACCTACAGGGACCAGGGTGATAATGAGGGTGGAGGGCTTTGGGTCGTTCTGCTTCTGCTTTAACCAAGAGCCCCTCTTGGGCCCATGTTTTAATTGGCGGTCTTCATAAGAGTTTGCTTGAGAAAAAAGGGTTGGAAGCTAGAAAAAATGAAACCCACTAATCCAGTCCAACTAGTTGGACATTGTATCCACCCTCCAGTGTCATGCATTAGAGAGACATTTATTACATAATTGCTCATAGAACAAATAGATTTTCTAACCAGATGGAGGTGAGTCAGCAGAGTCACTTTGGGGCTATATTTGTGGGGTGGAGAATATGCAGGGAACACAGACCAAAGGGTCTTATGAAGGTGCAGACTCTGGACAAAAGCCACAATGTCCTATAAAGAGCTGTGGAGAAGGTCTGCTTTCTGAGCCTGTTGAGGTAGGGACAGCAGGCTGGCATATGGCAGCCCAGAGAAGATGATGGGAGAGTGGCTTGTGTACAGTCAGGTGCGGTTAGGTTGGAATCTCTACTCTGGCCCTCAGTAGCTACGCTAGTTATTTCTTTAACTCTCCGGTTATCTATTTTCCCAGCTGGAAACTGGAATAATTACCACTTCCCATCTCGATCTGCTGCGTGGACTGAATGAATCATCCTACGCACTTGACTGGCTCATTGCTAGGTGCTTCAGAAATAGTAATTTCCTTCTCAGGGTGTGGGATGAGCGCAAAGGCTCTGGGGCCATCTACCATCTCTTTCCTATTGACTCAAAAGTCCCTGCCCCGATCTTCTCTTCTCAGAATGTGGCCAGGTTCTGCGAGCCTCGAAGGGTCAGATTTTTTTGGAGAGCTACCCCCTAAATGCTCACTGCGAATGGACCATTCATGCCAAGCCTGGGTTTATCATCCAGCTAAGGTAAGGGGCTTGGGTCAGAATCAGGGATGCTGGGGTCATAAGGAAACTCAATAAAGGGATCTAGGGTCCTGGATCCTAGTGACCCAGGGGGCTAACCATCAGCACCTTATCCTTAAAAGCAGGAAACGTGTATCAGAACCTTTTTCTTTACCTCTCATTGATTCAGTGGGATAAGGCCTGGTCAAAACTTTGGCCAATTAGCTCTGGCCAGGTAGATCAGTTGGTTAGAGTGTTGCCTGATACACCAAGGTTGTAGGTTCAATTCCAGGTCAGAGCACATACAAGAAGCAACCGATGAATGCATAAATGGGTGGAACAACAAATCAGTGCTTCTCTTTCTCTCAATCTCTCTCTCTCTCAAATCAATAAATAAAAATTAAAATTAAAGAAACTATGGCCAATTAAATGCTTGTCATTCACTGCCCTATACCCTATACCAGTGGGGCTCCATTGATTTTGACCCAAAGATAACACAACAAAGCAAGATACTGAGAGTAATGTATTCATGGCCTAATCTTTACCGAGTCTTCCTGTTCACTCAGTACTGGGCTGGCTTCCATGGGAGGCAAATGAAGAACTGAAAGGCACAAGTCTAGCCTTCAGGGGATTTACACTCTAGAACAAGGTTCCTACTTGTCACAGATCCTTTCACTGATGTTCTCAGAAAACCACCACCACTCCTGTAACACATTAACCAGTTCTCTCACTTGTATGGAAGACAAATTGTTTCTTCTATGGGGCTTTGAGGTCCACACAAATGTTCAATTTATGCCCTAGTCCCAAGTAGAGACCTGGTTTTATTGTAACTATAGATAAGTAGCGCAGGAAAGTCCTGTCTGGTGAGTACTGTTCACTGCTGCGTCTTAGTGCCTGGAACAGTTCTTAGTGCCTGGAACAGTACATGGGACACACCATAGGTGCTTGATGGATAGTTGCTGCATGAATAAATGTTGAAAGAAGTGCTCTCTGCCTCCTGTGTCACCTCTCCTATTCCTCTGTAGACAAGTGGAGTGGCCCATTTACCCCCCGGGTTTCTAGGGACATTGTCCACTTAGCTCCTCCCTTTTCTAACCAGTGATGAGGTTGCAGTGATGGAAATCTCTAATCTTCTAGGGCACAGGCTTTCCATAAGTATTTTCTAGATGGATCAATGCACCCAGAGGTTGCCCCTTGCCAGCTGGCTCCTCAGATGGCTCTCTGGCTTCTGGGAGGGGCAACACTGCATCCTGCATTGTAAGGATCCAGCAAAACAAGTCCCTTTCTTATCTCTTCCCATCAAAATTGGCCCTTGGTAGCTGGTGTCTTCACTCCCTGAAGACCTGGGGTTGGGAGTGGGGCTCATTAATTGGACTTTCTGAAGGAAGGTCAGCTCAAGTTGCAAGTGAGGGGCCACACTGTTCTGCTTAATGGGCTCCAGGCGGGGTCCACCAGGGATGGTAAGAGCAGGTGTTAAATGCCACGTGTTAGCATTTCAGCAACTCAGGGACCAAGCCCATGGGTCTCCTCAGGGGCCTCTGAAGAGCTTCTCCAAGATCCAGGATGCAAAATAAAATCCCCCAAAACAAAGTCCAAAATAGTGGAGAGATTGAGAAGCACATCACCTGCCTAGGAAAAGGTCCTAGGGAGCCTTGGAAATAGATTTCTTTCCCTCTAGTCAAACCTGGGCTGCTGGCCAGGGAGAGTAATAGTGATGGAAACTCTCTGAAGCATATGCACAGTAATCAGCCCACATGCTGAGTAGTCAGCCCTGATGCCCCTGTCACCTGCCACAGCCAGGCCACCACAGAAATCTCTTTTCTTAGCTGTAAAATCACCTCAAGTCCATTTACATCTGTCTCTACTGCTACCATTTTACTTCAAACCACCATCCTTTCTCACCTGGATTCTCTCAAGGCCTCTTATTTCACTTCCCTGCTTCCACTCTTGCCAGCTCTGTAATCTCCTCTCCTCAGAGTGACTACAGCGATCCTTTAAAATCCTGTATCAGGTCATTATTCTGTTATTGAAACCTTCCAGTGCCTTCCTATCAAGCTTGGAGTAAAATCTGAACTCCTAACCATGCAGGGTCTAGCTCCTGCCCTCCTTGCTGACCTCAGTTCATACCACTTTACTCACCACCTTGCAGCATCCCTGACCTTCTTTCAGGCCCTCAGACATGCCAAGTTCATTGCTGCCTCAGGGCCTTTGCACTTACAGATTCCTCTGCCTGGACTGCTCTTCCCCGTGACCTTCATTTGACTGGCTGAATTCCCTCATCTAAGTGTCTGCCCAAATACCATGTCTGCAGAGACATCTTCCTTGACCACGTTGTGTAAAAGGTTTACTCTCCCCAGTCACCCTTTATGTTCTCGCCTGGTTTATTCTCTTCCCAGCACTTAACATTCTCTGCAGTTACCACGTTTCCTGGTTTTCATGCTTGTTGTCTGTTCCCCGAGTCGGAACTCATCTCCATGAGGGCAGGCGCCGGGTCTAGCTGGGTCATTTTCAGCACCTAGAACAGCGTCTGACAGGGAGCGGGCTTGTCACAAATGTGCTGAGTAAGTGAACAAACGAATGAATGTAAATACAAGTTGTCATATCTCATATTTTAGTTTCAGAAAAAGCCTTGATCTCTGTGGAGTGGTGGCTTTGTCCCCCCTCCTCCCCTTTGCAGACAAAGATATCAAAGCCCAGAGAAGGGACTGAAGCTCAAGGCCCACAGTGGGTTAGCAGTGGCATCCTGATGAGATGTCAATCAAAATGTAATTAAAGGGACTTACCCTTCCTTAGAAAGGTTTTGTGATAAATATTTTTGTCAGATAAACACTGATGATACTCAGTTACTGGGATTCTTTTTAGTAAGACCTTTAAGAGCTTTTAAAATATACCAATTGTCACTCTGTCCTAGCGTTCTCTAATCTTCTGGCACTTGAGGTTTTACCCAAGGTGCTAGGAATAGCTTTTCAAGTGGCAATTCTGAGCTTTTCTGTCTATTCTTACTTCTCCAGAAGGTGAAGGGGAAGGTACAGATGTACATGCTATAAACTTAAATTGCAGGCATTCCCTTGGGCATCTCTTGAAAAATGCATTTTCCTCTCTTGTCCCTGCATGTGGCTGCCTCTTTTCTTGTTTCTTAGAAGTGGGAGCTTAGGGTCATTTCTGCTATTTCAATCTGATGTATCCCAGTATTTCCAAACTCGTGGCCCCTTTTAGGTAATCACAGGTTGATCAGATCTCCCTCAGCTCTGAAATTCTGAGAGGGTGCTACTCTCTGTTCTTTGGGGCATGAATTATTGTGGCCAAGAGCATAATTACCTTCCGATCTTTTCATCTAACAGAAGAGTGTGCAGAGTTTTTCCTTTATTTATTCTTGTAGAACAACATATAGTATTTCCATTCTCCAATTGTAAAATTCAACATAGTATCCATTTAGTCATCTACTCAGCAATATCTGCTTGGCATCTCTGGATGCCAGGCACTGTGTTGGGCACAGTGGAGTAAGACATGTTCCACTCTACCTTCAAGGAGGAGACAGGCATATGTGCACATGGGTGCACACACACACACACACACACACACACACTCACACAGTCAAGGAGATAAAAATGAGAAATGAACATTTGTATGGATGCCATAAAGAAAACAAGGGATCTCCTTTGGAAAGAGTTGTCAGGGAAGCCTCTTTGAGGAGGGAATATTTAAACAGAGGCCTGAGGATAGGAAGGACCCCGCCATGCAGACCGGGAGGAAGAGTGTCCCTGGAGGAAGAGCCAGCATGTACAAAGATTCCCTGAATGGCATATGGCACCCCTTCACCTGGGCATGCTCTGTGTGTGCACACACGCACACCGGGTCCATACACACACCCCTCCACTAAAAAATATTCACCTGACCTCAGACTCTCCAGGACCAGTTTCCGATCCAATCAGGCCAGTGGCACCAAATTTCCAGAGGCCTGTTCATCATTTGGCCTCAGACTTTCTCAGGGGTCTCAGGGCGACCCGGGGCCCGCTCTGTCCTGCCGTCCCCTTCTCCCCACACAGGTTTGTCATGCTGAGCCTGGAGTTTGACTACATGTGCCAGTATGACTATGTTGAGGTCCGTGATGGGGACCACAGCGACGGCCAGATCATCAAGCGCTTCTGTGGCAACGAGCGGCCGGCTCCCATCAGAAGCACGCGCTCCTCGCTCCATGTGCTCTTCCATTCGGATGGCTCCAAGAACTTCGACGGCTTCCACGCCATTTTTGAGGAGATCACAGGTAAGGGCCATGGAGACAAAGGTAGCGTTTTGCGACCGTGCTCCACACGAGCACCCCCTTTCTGTGTACTGCGCCCCTCCCTGCTCAGCCCCGCTCAAGCCTAGCGTGCCGGGTTCTCAGGAGAGCCTGGACACTGAGAAGGAGGAGAGGAATGGCAAGGTATATTTCTGGAAGGTTCACCAGAGCCAGAACTGGGAACCACTATTTCCCTCGCGCAGATGCTGGAGCGCAGAGAGGCTGAGTAATTTGTCCAAGGTCCCGCAGCTATGGGGGTGGGACCAGAGATTTATACACAAGCAGTTTGGCTCTAGAGCTCACACTAGGGGGCCAGCCATGGTTAAGAGCATTGGCCTTGGATCTCTGGCAGATGAAGCCTAGTGACCTTGGGCAAGTTCTACTTCTCTGGGCCTCAGTTTCCTAATCAGTAACTGAGGGAACAACCATAGGTCCTGCTCCATTAAGGGGACTCTGGGAGTAGGAAGATGAAGAGCTGAGCGTGGTGTCTGGTCCTCAGCATGCACTCCAGCATGCCCTGCTCCCGGCGTGCTCTGAGCCTCCCTTTGCCGTCTGTAAAATAGGTGTTAAACATCTTAAACTACAGTGGTAAATGCCACTTACTTCATGAGTAACTCTAAGTCTGACTATGCCTCCTGCCCTGTCCTGTTACGAAGCAGGATTTGAGCAAGGGGAGCAAAGTGCTCCATCCTAAGTAGTCAGCCCAGCTCTCCTTATTCTGGGATTGGATTACATCAGGTTTTGCAAAATAAGCTCTGGCTTGAAGTTCTATTTTTTAAAATACTGAATTTAAAAAATTGCAATGGCTCTTTGATCATGAAAGCTTCCTATGGAGCGTACGATACAAGTCTCCGGAAAGGAGGTGGCTGGCAGTGGTGTCTGTCTTTCTTCAGCCCTGTTCTTCCAGCAGGACCAGCGTCCCACCCCCCACCCAGTGCATCTCCCAGGCATCTCTCCAGTGCCGCTCACAGAGCAAGCCCCTGACACAGGCTCGTTGAACTGGACCGGGTGACAGACTTCCACGTGGGGTAGATGAATGGAGGATTGAGGAATTACAAGCAGACGAGCGCTTCCCAAAGTGCTCTTTATAGAAAATGGTCCCAGAGACACTCCAGAATGCAGGTCCTCAGGTCAGATACGCTTGCCAAAGGAGGGACTTTATGTGCACCCTTAGACATCTGCAGTGCACACTAGGGCATGGAACGTTCTAAGAGGTTCTGCAGATGGGAAATCTGGTTAATGTCATCTAACACGAGTACTGTTTCCCCACCACATTTGAGCCCAGATCTCTCACCATCTCAAGGGAGTACTGCTCTCAGAATGTGTCCTTGGGAATTCTGGAGTCCCTGTTCAACCTTGTTCAAGGTCATCTGCCCCTTCTTTCCCTCAGTACCCAGGAGGCTGGGATTCCTCGAAGAAGATGATTTAAAGCTACGTCAGGCTGCGCCTGTCCCCTAGGTCCCCCTGGGATCGTGAAAGGCACTTGTGCTTTAGTCTTGGGGTGTGCCTGTTCATGTTGGGCTTGGGCTCTTCTGACTGTCGGTGTCTGGAGCCTACTTGTGAGGCCTTTGAGGACATCAGTTCTCATCAGCATCATGTGACAGTTAATGAGTACCTGTTCTCCGCAGTCTCAGCAGTAGCATGCATTCAGAAAAAGCAGTAAAAACATCCCAAGAAGACTTTTAATAGACAAGTGAAGGGCTCTGGCCAGGGCCCTGGGCTTGAAGACACGGACACCACACCGTGGCACTGAAATTGCCTTTTCTCTTGCAGCATGCACCTCGTCCCCTTGTTTCCATGATGGCACTTGCCTCCTTGACCAAACCGGCTCTTACCGGTGCGCCTGCCTGGCGGGCTACACTGGGCTGCGCTGTGAAAATCGTGAGTAGCCTCGGGGGTGGGAGCTGACGTGTGTCGTGGGGCTGGCGTGAAGGGGGCTTTGGGAGCTTGCAGGGAGTGTCGTTTCCCGGTGCCTGGGATGGTCTGTCCGAGATGGCACGTGATGTGGACAGAATCCCAGCCTCGGTGCTAATCGGCATGTAAGCTTCATCGCAGCGTGGGCCTGGCTTGAGAGCAGGGCGCTGTGCTGCGGCTCCCCACTGCGGCCAGTGCCTGGCTGGGGGCCGGCCTGGGCAAGCAGGAGGACGCGCCTCGCTTTCTCTGCGTGTGGGCCAAGTGCGCCCAGCAGCCTTCAGNTTTCTCTGTGTGTGGGCCAAGTGGGCCCAGCAGCCTTCAAGCTGCCAAAGAGATGGCAGGTGCAGGCCGTGGAGGTGACACTACAGAGCCTTGCGGAGGGGAGGGACCCACCATAGAGTGAAAAGGCACCTGAGGGCAGAGCACCAACAGTGTCTGCAACAGTCACTTCTAACTGGCATGCTCAGGTATTCAGGGGTCAGCCTATAAGGGACCTGGTCTGCCAGCATTCTATAAAGCTCATACATTGTCCCATCACCATTTATCCCCC